GGGCGGGGGCGGGGGTGGCTTTTACGGTAATTGAAAACATCCGCCGAATGCACGCTCCTTCCCGAAGGCAGCTCTCGGCTGAAACATTGGTTAATCTCTTTATATTTTATGTCGACCTCCTGCAGCCCTTTGAGATTTTTTGTGAAGGACGAGGTGGGAGGTTGTAAAGCAATGAATGTTAAGTTATTCATGCTTTTAGATTTGTTATACGTGAGTAACTTGGGCATGTTTGTGTTATGTTCGCGAAAACAAATATTCGTCTTCTTTGCTCGGTAAGCTATGTTGACGACAAAAATCGACGTGTTTTGCTGACTTGCTTAGAACATCTTACGTCTTACCTTATTTGAGTTTGCCAGTCTATTCAGCTGAAGCTTTCTCTTGACTGAATTCACATCAGTTAATTTCATCCCATAACCTCCTGAGTTTACAACTATCTCTCTGTAATAAAAAACGGTCGGGTGTTACAACAGTACTAGCCAAATTCTTTACACATAATATTTTGTCAAAATGGTTAGAAAGAATGAGGGAATGTTAAATAGATTGCCATTGAAAAACCATGTTTTCACTATTAATTACGTTAGGTTCTTTAACAATATGATCATAAATATAGTAATTAACTCCAAATAGTTTACATTCTGAATTAAAATTCTTGAATATGAAAGTACGGTCTAATAAATTATTGTTATCAACAGCAGTTTGAAACGTTTAGGAAAGCTACTGTAAAATATTGTGATATGACATTGTGATACTGAGACAATGCTATTAAAATATTATACTTTTTCTAATATTTCAACTCATCTCAGTCATCAGTTTTTGTAAAGTTCGTAACAAATCGTGGAAAATTGCGAAAAATTAACATTTTCAAGCAAACATCTACACACATTTGGCAATTATAACTGCTATTCATTCACCTAAATCATATTCCTACAATCACACGTATCATTCACAAAACTTCACCTGTCGTTTTGCGGAGCAAAATGTCATTTTTCATTCCAATCTGATATTCCTTGAAAGATAGCAAATTCATATTACATTTGAATCATATTTTTAAGAGAAAAACGTAACTGAGCTAGTTTTAATGACGGTTCGCAGATTGCTTGAAAGAAAATACAACAATACATTGAGAATTTAAAATACATTCCTCGCAACAAAGACATAAATATGGATTATCAAACATACGTTTACAAGAATAGAAATTATTTAAAATGTAACAAAAGCTCAAATGTAAAAAACGATCAAAGAAAAAGAAAACAATATGCAAATTATAACTTACGAAGCATCCAACTACCTCCATTCACCCAATAATTACCATTCAGTTTACGTTCACGAGGTGCAGGAAATTCGTAATGGGAGATAAAGTTTGATCCAAAAATTTACAAAAAAATACTCAAATTTTCTAAAAATTAAACATTAACTTATTTGAAAATCTGTTTTTGATGAACGCATTTCATTTAAAAAAATTATCTTCACAATTGTAGTTATAGGATGACAAAAAATTGTAATTATTTTTCAATTTGCGCAAAATCAGGAAACTTAACGAGAGTCAGAAACCATTCTCTAAAGCTAGACGTGCAGACGGACGGACACACAAATAGATGTTTTACCGTCATTCGATTTTCCAATAACTAGGACTCACAAAACAGGAATTGTCTTAATCACGTGTTGGAGGATTTTTTTTTCTAAATTTAGCAACTGGGTTTATCCACTTTTGTGTAACCAAAGCTCTGTAATAAGAATTTTCGGCCTAAAATTCGTTATGTGCAGCAATACACAATTTTCTTTCTACCACGGTAGCTGTAGCGAGAAGGTTAACTTCGAAGTTAACAATACGACCCAGCGGCAATGGCAGTTGTCGGTACAGCTCAGACATAAACATAGTACTAGACTGGCAATGAACATTCTTTTTGAAGCCAATGGTTGCACCCACCGCCGTATTTTTCACTACAGTTTCACTCGGTTGAGCTCTTAGAAAATCTATAATCATACATTTACGACTTACAGCTGGTAAGAAAAACTGCAATATCTAATAGCAGAGTTTTTCGGGAAATAAAACAAATAATATCAATGTTTCAACAGTTTTATTGCTTTTCATGTCGAATAAAGCACTTCTCTGAAGTCTGTATTGACATTTATGAGGGTAATAAAAAGCTACATTAAAATACCGAGAAGCGAGGCAAGGGACCATCTCAGTATTTGCTCACGGGTCAAGGGAAACTGGATGAAAACCTGATCGAGATGGAGCTTAAAATGTTACCAAATCAACGAGACGAATTCAGTAAATTGAAAATCCCGTCCATGGTTACAATTTCTTCTGAATGCTGAAAAATCCTTCAACTTCATTACTTTATCATAATAGTCTATGGTATCTGCAAGTAATCTGCTCAGGGTTTGCACAACTAGTCGAACACGTATTTTATGTATAAACCAAAATACATGTTTCGATGTTAGCCAAATACAAACCTGATAACTGAAGATTGAGGAGGGCCTATATATATGCTCACTGAATGGAGTCTACTTTGTGAAAATGAAGCTCTTTTCTGCTGAACAAATTGCTTACAAGTTTTCTCATAGGTCCAGCTTCTAACAATACAACTACAGATTTGTTTCAAGCAACAAAGTGAGGAAAACAGGGTTTTAACTTTTCTACTTGACTCACATTTGCATCCAAACTTTGTGTCATACTCAGGTTGTTGCTTACTCCATCAAATGTTACTGCTGCTACAGTAACACCAAAACACCAATTACGTGCAATTTTTCAATGCACTTAGACACTAAATATGACCTCTCCCTACCCGAAAAAGAACCAAAAAAATGAATCTTCCAACAGGCATTCAGAGCAGTACACATTATCACACAAAGCATTATTGCTTTTGGCAAACAATATCTTCTGTTCATTTGTGTTGCCAGGTTCACATAACCTACAATTTTATCAACAGTTAATCCAACATGATCTTTTAGACTAGTGTCATTTATTTCGAGAGGCAGACAATTTAACTTCCACCTTTTTTTAGTTGCTCTTGTGCTTTTATCTAAATAGATTTTGAATATTCCACACTAAATCCTGGTTCAAAATTAATTTTAAAGTACCAAAAATGTTGACTTGGACTAGGAAAAGCATTATTGAATTTTCCTTTAACCTACTAATATTCTTGAGGGGGGAAGTGTAACGACAGGGCAAATACCCTTAATCTTTCACCACACGCATCTTTAAGCACACTAGTTCCTGAATTATTGCTGGCTCGATCTATCATAAAATAGACACCTGATGGTAAACAATTTTTTGAAATGTCAGCATTACGCGCTGGTGGTAATACTCAGTGGTTGAGGGCCAGGGAAGAATTTATCCTCGCTGAAAACAGAAATTTATACACCGGAATCCGCATGCTGCGGCCGGATTGGAGAAAATAGGTCGATTCCTCCCCAGCCCCCTTAGGGCACTTGCTTATATTCCTTGAGCAGCCCGGCCGAGCCATCGCAGGGAGTGCGCTTCTTGGAAACAGTCGCAGAAGCGTCTCGCCAGCGACGACCGGCCTTTGGCCCACATCGTTCCTCAGCCAGCCCCCCTCGGCTCCTTGGGCTGCCCGTGGGGTGCCCGTGGGGGACCCGCCTGGCGCCTGTGCTGCGGAGGCTGGCCCGTTGGGCCCCAAGGCCCCGTGCGGCTGTTCCCCGGCGGTGAGGTCTCTCGGGAGGCGGCACGCGGCCCGAGGATGGCGACCCCAGATGGGGCTGCACCTGTGCTGCCATCTCTCTCGGCGTCACTTGGCGTCGGGCCTAGCGCTACCTTTCCCTTCTGTACGCCGGGAGGGGGAAGGAGTAGGGTGGGGAGACCGAGGTTATGGGCGGGCCGCCGTTGTCAGTGAACCCCCATTTGGCTTTGAGTCGTTTCGTCGCCTGTTGTGCTCGTAGCCAGAAAGTTTACGAGCCAAATGTTGGACGGACGCGACGACTGTTGAGATAGCTACGAGCTATAGGGTAGCGTCAGCCATCATACAGTGTTCCACATCTGCCATGGTATCTTCCAGTGCTTGCTCTCTGCTGGGACTAGGAGACAAAATGGGGCAATGAGTTCCTAATAATATTGTAGTACGGGATACTTTGCATCTAAAATAGATTTTTTAAATCAGGGTGTTGGCTTCTTCTCCAATAGCGAAGTTTACCTAGACTAGATTTCTGGCTTTCCTGGTGATATCTCGGCGGTGATATTTCAGCTCGGTTTTCAAGCAAAAATCTAACAGTATTCAGATACCAACGCTGGTAGATAGATGTA